CTTCCTGATCGAACAAATCAAAATTAACGTAAGATCGGCGCATCGTCACCATTGTATCTCTAGAATATGTTATTAGTCTTCTATGAATATTTCAATGATAAACAGTTGATTTTTCTTAAAAAGAAATATTCTTTTGCTACGAATGATTTTAATTGTATTGTATTTGAGTAAATGCATGAGAAAGATTCCACTTCTTGGAAAAACTATTCTTTTCAATTTTTTTTTTCGTGCTAGTTAGATTCGTTAGGAACATCTCAGTATTCTCATGCACACTCAGCCATAAGAACAGCAAGATCTTCGAAAGTTTTCTGCATTACCTAGTATGTAGAACTTTTGGACGCTGATCATCTTAGTAAAGCTTCTTCATTTTTTATTAAAAAATGACGAAGCTAGAGTCAAAATATTAAAATACACTAAATTGAGCCAGTACCCTCAAGATACTATAGCAATCTTTAGAGTGCATTACATTGGCGAGCCAGGTCGCTGGACTTGTGTGATAAGCTAATCAAATTTAAATGAATGAAACAAATTTTCTTCCGTTCTCTCGAATTCGATCGACTTACTACACACTAGTTTAGTGAGTCGCTAATCTTTCTAACTCGCCAATTAGTGGATCTTGGTATTTCGATCCTAACTTTGTCGTTTTTTAATGAAAAATGAAATTTTTTTTACCAAAATTATCAATGTCAAACACTCTACAAAATAGGTAATGCAGAAAATTTTCGGAGGCCTTCCTGTTCTTATGGCTGAGTGTGCATGAGAATACTGAGGTGCTCCTAATAAATAGTCTGATTCTTCCATAATTTACACACTCCAATCACTACCTTTTCTAGTCAAGGATGTTTTCTGGTCACTTCTGATCAAACTAGCGCGAAAAAAAAATCGAAACGAAAACTTTTTCTAAAATGTGGGGTTTTTTCCATTGATTTACTCATTTACAATCTGACAAAGAATAGTGTATTATTATGCATGATTATGTAATATCTTTCAAGAGATTTCATCAACAAACTAGTGTCTAAGTTGCTCATCGATCAATTAAACGTTTCTATTGTATTTGAAAATATGAAATTGTAAAGGAAATATGATTTTCGGTCAGTAAAATAAATGAAAGAAATGGTCCGTAAATGATCGATCAGTAAAGTACTTAAATGGCTAGTTATTAATTAATTTGGATTGTAAATAAATTTAAAAATCAGTAAATATAATTTATTCACAGGCGATTATATTAAAGGATCGATATAAAAATTAAAATGGTTATTGAGTAAATCACTTTTGTTCTTCTTTTCCTTTCTCTTCAGCTATTCTACGTATGTTATCGTTCTTTTGACTTACTTCTTTTCACCTACATATTTTGTAAATAAGAAGAATCATTTTTTTAATTCTTCTTATTGTTCATGATCTAAAATAAAGGGAAAGAAGCTTCTTGACTTTTTCCCTGATCGTTATCTATATCTATCCCCATGTATAAATATTTACTGTTTTTTCGATAGAAATAACATACTTCACGTTTACAAAATCTGATGTATTTGTAACTATGAAAGTGGTACAAGTTTCTCAATATGAAAGCGATATATCAGATGAAAAGGTGACAGAAGAAGATCATGAAATAAATGAAAATAAAAGAAACCTAGAAAAAGGGAATCAAAATGTTGAGTTAAAAGATATACATTTGATAATGAATCATTCAAATCAAATGATGGTTGGTATGAAGGTATACAACTGTATTTACCAAGTGCAAACAACACTCTAGAGGCAACCAATAAAACAATGAAAGATGATAGAACGTTTCGAGAACACCATGTTTTATCAAGAGCTTTAACAAAGTCTTCAAATATTATTATCAATAATTGTACTCATAGAATAATTCAATTTCCATTTTCTTTTTTTCTCAATTATTCTTCATATTTTCTCGTATTTTTTCTGTAGTTCTTTGATTTATTTGAATTTACTTTCTACTAGTAACGGTTACTTTTCTACTGATATACTTTATATTTTTTACTAGTATAAATCAAAATTTTTTACTGCTCTTATATTTAATAAACTGATCATTTTACAATTAATTACTGATAATTCTACCACTGGCCATTTACATATTTGTTTCTTGACCATTTCTTCTGTTTTACTGACCACTTAAATGGTAACCAAAAAAAAAGAACGACAGATTCATTGAAATCATAGACTATAATAATTCATTTTCTATCATACCCATAATTGGATATAACAACTTCATTAAAAGATCATAGATAGAGATTTTCATCTATGAAATTAAACTTTCGAACATTCGATTGTCTTCGCAGCTGAAAATTTACATGAATATTGTTTTTTTTTCTATGCATAATTATTCTATGAAATTAGTAAAATTGTATCAAACTATGAAAGTCTATACGGCATTAGAATAACTTAAAGCTCACATGAATTAATTTCTTTTTTAAGAAAAAAGTTTCACTATAATATCATCTTATTTTTGTCGTCAACATGTAATGGAGTATGATGAGTCATCGTTCGGCATTTTTTTTCTCTGAATATGATTTATAAAAAAAAACATATCGGACTAGCCGACGATTTCACTTCCTTATTTTAGGGTGTGTTTTTTTATGTGACTATTTTTCCAGACACTGTTGTCTAATATGGAGGGTACAGCTTTGCCCAACAACCATCGAAATAATAAAAATTCCAGTAAGAGACGACGATCCAAACAAAATAAAGCTCAAGGAACAACAACAACAGCAACAACCAATGATGAACAATTTAGAATGGAGAGGCCTTTTTTTCATACAGGTTCTCCAACATTTTATACATCAACATGCAAACAAACTGATGCTACTGTTTTATCTTTGAATAAAGTATAAATCTTATCATTAATCCTTTATCTAACTTACTACTTAAGATTTTTATTAGGAGCAGCCAATAGTATCAAATATGCATGAACAACAATCCTTTGTACAAAGTAATATTTTTTTCTAATGAAAAATTCTTTTTCTAACGTTTTCTTTCGTATTCTAGACAATAATTTGCAATCTGGAAGTAAAGTGATTAGCCATAATTTGCAGCCACTAATGCCATCTACACAACTGCCATTACAAACTGTAATTGTCAGAAAGCTCAGTGTGAGAGAAAAAATTCCAGCAACTGGATCAAAGAAATTAGCATCAACCTCATCAAATAACATGTCGACATTGGAAACAGCGATGCACTCAGTTGTTATGAACTCAAATATAACTACGGGTAAATATCTTTATATGTGATCAAGTCTATTAGAATTGAAAATCTAAATTAGAAATCCTTTTTACTTTTGTTCTTAGATAATAATTTATCTTCGTCAGTACCACCACGACCTTTAACAGCCCGTGAAAATGAAATTTATAAAAAATTATGTGAGATTATTTTAACAATACATAAAAGCAAAGAATTTGTATCACGTGAACGAGTTCAACGAGAATTATTTCATTATTATAATGTTAACTCCTGGTATGATTTAAGGACTCAACCATCAAGGTTTGATGCATTGATTAATCTTACTGATCGACAAAAAACTGTGACGTTTTACATGCATGTTTTCGAACAAATATTTAATTTGTGTACACTAAATGATCTGGAGTCACTTCTTGCTAGATTCTTGAAAGTGGGAAAATACGATGATCTTCTATTAGGTCCACTCGATAAAAATCCGGAAGTGCAACGAATATTCAAATATCAACCAACTAACCCTGATCAGTACATTCCTGAAATAACCACTGGACAAGTTATTAAAAGTTTCATTGAGTTTCAAAAAGCACATCGATATCAGCGATTAACTTCATTTGATGGCTTTATCGATCATCTTGTTGAAGGACATAATCTTCAATCACGTGAAGAGTTAGGTCTTTTTTGCAAGTCATTTCCTTATCTGGTACAGGTAATCTAGACATTAATGATATTCTTTGTATTAGCTTTTATGATTCTTTCTTTCTTCATAGATGACCAATAATTTAAGACGAGATCAAGAATCGTATATGCAACAAGTAAAGGAACAATTACAAAAAGATCTCATTGAAGATGTTCGCGTACATTTGGCCGAATTCAAAGAAAAAATGCATGATGAATTAGAACTTTCATCTTTTAATAAGAAAAAAACACCAACTGCTGTATTCAATTACCTCATATCGGTTGTGGATAAGTATTTGAATTTCATACCTCAACAACCAATACTCTTTGCAATACTAACCCATCTTCGTGATGATGAAATGTTACGATGCTTGTTCAATGTAAGCATTTATCTAGGTACTATTGATAAGCCAGAAATATTCATTGCGGAACTTAAAAAACTTTATGGTCATCAAGAGAGAACTCCGTCTGCACAAGAAACAATAATGACGCAGCAACTATCTATTATAACTGAAAAAATGAGCAAAAAAGATCGCAAAAAAATGAATCGCATGATGAAACAACAGCAATCACAATTACAATATTCAAACATAAGCGTCGACGAACAAATAGTAAGTTTTGCTATATTCATAAGTAGCATTTCTTGATGATATAGACGACGAAGTGAATACAGGATATGAAAATTTCAAATTCATCTTAATAATTTGGTTGGTTTTGTGTTTATGAGACTAATATTTTCCAGGTAGTTATTTTAGAAAACTTTTGTAGCAATAAGATACTGTCGTATTTTATTCTTTCGAGTATAATTACCAATGTTTCCAGTGAAGACTAAATCTGCGTGTATATCAAACATACACTAGTTCTATAAACTGATCATATTGATTTATTTTCGGTTTTTTTGTAATGTGATAGGTGGCATAAAGAATCACACTAATGATTTGGATAGAAAAACTATTTTCCAATAAAAATTTGAAGAAAATAAAATTCTCTCTGTGATTCCAAAAATTTGGGTTTCTATAAAATCTAAAGCCTAGTTTTTCAGCACTCAGAATCCAAAAATAAAAGTTTCTTTTAATAAAGCAACTTATTCTCTAGAAAATGGGATGCCTCTGAGTTCTTCACAACATTTTTCGGCTGAAGTATATCAATTTAAAGAAAAACATAGGAGAATCCTTTTTGTCTCTTTTTGTTCATAGGAAATGGCGAAAAAGATCACTATTGCATTTTTCTTAAAATTAATGTAGTTCAGTTAAAAAGTTTCGTGGAGAGCTTTGAAGACATCTCATTTTCTAGAGGATGAATGGCTCTATTAAAAAAACTTTTATTTTGGGATTGTGAATGCTGAAGAGCTAGGTTTTAAGTTTTCCAAAGATTCTGAATTTTGGGAGCACAATGAGGATTTCATTTTCCCCAAATCTTTGTTCAAAGACGAATTTCTCTATCCATGTCAGTATTTCAATTCTTTATGCCAGTAACGACATTATGGAAAAAAATCGAAATTCAATCTGGGTGATCAGCTTTTGTAGTCGCTGTTTGTTTATAGAAATTTAACTCATCAAGAAAACAATCATACAAAATTTCACGAGAAAACTAATGCTTTTTCATTACATGAAATGCTTATTTTTAATGAATGTTTTGTTTTTATACAATCCATCTTACGAGGAACCTACCCGAACTGTTACCGATCGTTTGACATCGTATTGAATTCAAAATAAGGTCTCGATAAGACTAGAAAAATTCTAGTCGGGTTCGTGCTCATTGACCTCTGGATTCGTGTTACTGAATTTTCGATCCAGCTTTATAGGTATTTATCATAAAATCAAATAACAGTATTTCGACCTGAAATTTCGCCCATAGATAGGACTGATGACTCTGTAAGTATCCTGAATGTTTCAGCTGAAAAGAATATTCTCTTCGACTGAAACATTCAGAATACTCCCAAAATCATCAGACCTATCATCTATGGGCGAAATTTCAGGTCGAAATATTGTTATTTGATTTTTCGGTAAATATCTAAAGCTGGATCGAAAATTTAGTAAAACAATCATAACTTGGCTCCAGAGATCCATAAACACGAACCCTTTTAGGATTTTGCTAGTCTTACCCATACCTTCTTTTGAATCCAATATGAAGTCAAATGATGGGTATCAATTCGAGTAGTTCTCTTGTCAGGCACAAGACAATTTGGAATATGTTCGTTTACCTTTCATTGTGTAGATGCCTTTTTATGTCTTAATGAAAGTGTAATGAACTTTTATCATTATTCAATTTTAGCCAACAACAAATACAACGTTTGCTACTCCATTCAGTACATCTTTCTCAAGCTGTTTGTTGACATCTCATCTAAGTAGACCGAAAACACCAGTATGCCTTAAACAACTTTGCTCTGATATCTATGCTCATTTGATTCATTATGATACGCCACTCACAATCAAACAACTTATTAAAATTGATGAGGATCTATGTGCTCAATATGATGTTACTAATTTTTCTGCATTTACCTATGATGAAAATGATGATGATGATAATTCTGCAAATTTTATATTATTTCTTAATAAATATCGTCAAATAATCGATCCACATGAAGAATTATCTGTTTATGAACAGACAACATCAACAGACAATCAAACAGAATTGTATTCATTTGTTGAACAGTTAAGCATTCTGAATAATGATGAAATAAATGAAGAACATCAATTGCAACATATAGCATTGATTCATGGACATGTAAACACTGAACAACTTCATATAAGTCCAGAAAAATTATCAGCAGTAGACAAAGCAGTTAAACATAAATTTGGTAGATCAATTAACTTTCGTAAAGGAAATCAAATAATAAAGAAAGCTAGAAAAAGATTTCAAAAAAATAAATACACAATTATTCGGTAAAAATTGTTTCTATTTATATTCATAATATAAATTAAATACATTATTTGATTCTAGCTTTGAAGAATCTTTATTAGATATAAATGGTTTAAATCAATTGGATAGTTGTCCAATATCACTGAATGTTAATGAAATTCAATTATGTCAATTAATACTTCATTGCCCATTGATGACTAATCTTTATACATGGCTTCAGTGGTTAAATTTTTTTCAACCAAAATATGGTACTCTCAAATCATTTATTACTAAGCACGAATGTAAGTTCAAAGATCTTCGTTTACTTGAAACATCAACTGGAGAAGTATATCGTTTACCTATCAATGCCAGTCTTGCTACATTTGAACATGAACTCAACGAAATGCATATTCGTTCAGCTGTTGGACATCTATGTTCATTGATTATTGAGGAAGGTTTAATTACACGATTTCCAATTAATGTTTATCGAACATCTATGGATACTTGGTTTCGTCATCTTAGATCTTTGGCTACATTACAAAATGATCATATCGATCCAATGCAACATATACTTGATTTTTTAATGTATCTACCAATACTTATTGGTCAATCAAGAATTATTGAAGAACTTATTCTTGTACCACTTGATAAAGTATTTGGTGATGTTTCAGACAATGCAATTAATGTGCGAACAAGACTATGGGATTTAGCAAATGTACAACAAAGGATAAAATTAGAATTATGGGGTCATACAGTAAATATTGTTGAATGGAAGAACGAAAAAAAATGGTTAGGAGATGATGAATGGGAAGAAACATCTATTCTAAAATCAGAAAATGAATTCATCCAACAACAACAAAACATTGATGCAGGTAGATTATTTTGAAAAAATTTCTTCTTTATAAGTATTGTTAATTAATATTACCTTTGAATATGTTTGATGAGAAATATTTTTGTTAAACACGAAAATTTAAGTTTGGAGTACGGTTCTATCTTTCTCAGGAGTCGCACGAGGAGGATGTGGATGGCTAGAATTTTGTCAAAAAGTCTTTCGCCAATAGAACATTAGCTCATGGCGAAAGTCTACTATACTTCCGCCAATTGACGAATTCCAGGGATAGAGTTCGTCATGTTCGAAACTTTCAGACTCAGAAATGATCGGGTCCGAGACCAACCCGGCGGGCTCTACTACGAAGCATGTTGGTAATAGTAGGGTGGACTTTTGCAAGTTGCTATGAAACAATATTAATATAGGATATATATGAGTGCTGAAGTTAATATTGTTAGAATATAAATAAAATAGCTTACACTTAGGATGTGTACGAATGCGAGCGAGTCATGTTTTTAATTAGAAAGAAGTGAGATTATTGTGAAAAAAAAGCAAACAAAGCATAAACTAATGTTCATTTGGCGATGAACCTGATAAGTCTGATTTGGAAACATCATTCTTGTTGTTCTTTCCTTTTCTTCCACAACACACAGGTTCGCCAACTAGATGAGCAAGAGACATGAATGTATCAGCTAATGATCTCATTTTGGGTGTGACTGTGAGTCATATTTTTAATCCACACCTACAGGCTTGATTCTCTGACAATGTCGTTCCTTTAGCGATCTGAGATTGTAATCCAGCAGCGTGAGTTATGACAAGCATAAATCGAACGATTATTATCTGAAAAGACATATACAATTTATAGATACGACATAGACGAATATAGTATACCAATGTAGTGGATAGAAACTTTTTTAATCGACATCTAATTCACAGTCAAATTGATGAAATGGCAATAGTTTTTCGCCAATTGGTGAAAATTCTATTGACAAAATTTCGAAACCTTGAGGGATCTAAGAAAAGTAAATTGAAAATAATAAAAACTTTAAAAAACCTAGCTAGTTTTATTGAACAATAACAAATCATTTGCAATTGTTGGTGGGTATACACTCCCTACTTTTGTGGCTTCTGATCTCTCTTCATGGAATAGATCTATATAGATTAATGCAATTTATCATTATCGGTTTATTTTTAAGTTAATCCTGCTGTGATGACATCAGCTGTTACGAAATCACTTTCGACTGTGACAACTAATATAACTTCTATTATACCTACTCCAGCTGCAGCTAATATCAATGATAAAAACGATTCAGTTCAAGCTGCATTCGAACATATCGAATCAATTCGTCGAGGTTTTGGTGTTGATAGTGGCCTTGATCCGACTAGCCAATCAATAATTACTAATCTTCTAGGCATGATTGAACGAAGTTTAGAAAGATTATCTAATGATCTCTACTTGGAACAAGGTCATTTCGTACTAGAACTTATTCAAAATGCTGATGACAATCAATACACATTAGATCGTGTACCTACTCTACGTTTTATTCTCTCATCAGAACGAATTCTTGTGTGTAACAATGAAATAGGATTTCAACCTTGTAACATTGCAGCAATCTGTAATGTAGGTGCTTCAACTAAAGGAAAACATAAACAAGGTTATGCTGGTCATAAAGGTATTGGATTTAAATCAGTTTTCATGATATCACATCGGCCAGAAATTCATTCTCAAAATTATCACTTATGTTTTGATACTGTTAATGGAACTCAACAAATTGGGTATACATTACCAATATGGATAGATCAATATGAAGAAGAATTACCTAATATTGATGAATGGGCGACATGTATTCGTCTACCAATTAAAAAAGAAGCACAAGATGCTCGACTAAAAGAAAATTTTAAGAAAATAGAATCAATTTTTCTACTCTTTCTCAATCGTTTACGACAAGTTGAAATCATAAATCAACATGATATTTCTTCGATTCATAATAATAATAATAATAATCGAATATTTACCAGAATTGATCATGTTCATGGACAAATTATAGAATTACAAGAAAAGAGTATGAATGGAACCATCATTAGTAATTTATGGCTTGTAGTCAAAAAGGTCATTGAAGTACCCCCTAATATTAAGGTAATAAAAACAAAAATATTTACAGTTCTCGGCATATGTTCATACGAATTTTAATTTTAGAAAAAATTACATGATGTAAAAGGTGATGTTGATTCAACAATCATTGCCGTTGCTTATCCACTCAATGGTATGCAAGATTCTTTATCATCATTTCCACCAACTCAGCCTGTTTTTGCATATTTACCACTTTGTTCATATGGATTTCGTTTTATTCTACAAGCTGATTTTGAAGTTCCAGCAAATCGTCAAGAAATTCTTCATGATAACCTATGGAATGAATGGCTTAAATCAGAAATGACTTGTCTTCTTTCTTTAGCTTATTGTCAATTTCAACATCTACCTGATCTACTTACATTATCTACAATTAATACACAAATAAATTATCAACTAACACCAATACAAATAATAAAATATTTTCTTAAATTTTTTCCTCTACAAAATGAATCGAAACCATTCTTTAATACATTTGTTGATAAAAGTATTCAATTACTAATGGGTATTATTAAATTACCGGTTTCACATCAAAATGAGAAAGACGAAATAATTATCGATTGGGTTTCACCTTCTCAATGTGTTATTGTACGAGATGAATTTATTCGAAAAATTCTCTCACAAGATTTATTATTATCTCATTTCAATAGTTATTATGTTCATGAACAATTAGTCCATGAATGTGATGAACAAATTCTACTGAAATTAGGTTGTCGTCAACTTGATTTTTCAGATATTACACGACTTATTGAAGTATCATATAAACAAAATGAACAACAACATCTTAAAACAACATCAGCTATAGAACAGAGTAAATTCTAAAGATTTAAACTACAATGCATTTCAAAATATAATATTCTTCACTGATTTTTGAATAACTTTTGATAGGACCATTATAAAGACTTGTGATTTTCACCATTCAAGAGACTGACTAATCAAATTTCGATATATTCCAATGACCTCAAATCTTTTCTCTTGAATGGTGAAAACCACAGATCTCTATAATGTTCCTATCGAAAGTTATTCCAAAACCAGTGAAGAACATTATATTTTGAAATAGGTAGTAGAGTATTTTTCTCAAGAGAAAAGAAAATCGTCAAATACATTATAATACTTTATTGATAATTTCTCTTTAGTTGCTCAATGGATTGTATGTCTCGACTATAGTCTTCAACAACAGCGAGAAGAAATGAATTATAAAGAGCGTGAAAATGATACAATTTTAAAACTTAAACAGTTGAAAATTATTCCATTAAAAGATCAATCACATTTAGTATCTATTGATGAATTTGACAAACATACTATCTCGTTTCCACCAGACAAATCAACTCCATTTTCAAAACATCTTAAACTTGTTCTTGATGATATACCTACACTTGATGAACAATTACTTAATTTTATTGAAGATAAATATCCACGACGAATTGATTCAATTAAACGTCTTCTTCAAAATCTTGGTAAGCTATCGATAGATGTTCGTTCGTGTTTATTCTTTTGTTTATACAGGTATCACTAAAGCATATAATATTCGTGAAATATATCGTCAACATATGTTACCAATTATGTCAAATCCAACGCGTTGGTCTTCAAAATCAGAATTAGTATTAATTGCATATCTTTTATGTATTTATGAATATCTATACTTACCTAATCCTGATATATTTGAAAATGAATTAAAAACATTACAAAATAAAATGATTATTAAAACACATAATAATCAATTTGTTTCATTAGGTTCTTCTGATGTTATTGTTCATTTAACATCAACGTATGGTTGTAGAGATTCACTTGAATCTTTAAATTTATCCAATTATCAGTTCCTTTTTATTTCTGATGATTATTATACTGAGTTTTGTCGTACCGGACTATGTCGTAACGATCATGATTTACGTTCTTTTGTCAAATTTCTTAAGGACCTCAATTTGAGTGAATTTCTTCTGGTAAACGTGAATGAAACATGTGAGTATAACATTAATTTAATATATTAATAAATTGCTTTTCTTCTACATTAGCGTTTATCGATGTTCAACAACTTGTCGATACTAAATGGGCCTATTTAATTCCACAGTTAATTGAAATGATTCATGAACCATTTATAATACAAGATTATCGTTCTGATGAGTTC